AGATCTGTAAATAAAATTGTGTATATGTATACTTAGAAATTTTTTTAATTGAAAATTGGCTGACATAACAGTAAGATACCACTACAGAAAAACACAGAATAAAATCATCAAGGGGAAAAAATTCAGACAGCAATAAACTAACATCACAATGATATGGTTAAAATAAGAGGCTTTTAAATTAGTGGATATACCAACTATTAAGTCACCAGCCCAACTTTATCAAGTGAGAGCTACATCGGCTTCCTCACTGTTACTTGTTCATGGGTTTCAATATTGAACTTCTTATTACCCGACCCTTTTTACAGAAAAAAAAAAACAAAATTAGGTATAACTTGGTGGCATCCTTTTGAAAGTAATGGGGAACCGTTAACTATAAAGAAAATGACGATGCTAACAGTCAAAACCTTAGCCCAGAAGTCATAAAACAGGCGCTTTTTTCGGAATTGGGAAAAAAGGAAAGGATGTTTTTTGTATTCAGCGAAAAAGGCTGACTAAAGAAAATGATATATTTTACAAAGCTCAACTCTTCAATTCAATTTTGTTTATAATCCCCAAGTATAACCGCGCTACGCCACATCCCTTTTCTGTAAAGTTAGTTGATGACAACTGTTTAAATGAGGCAGGTTTAACAAATATAAAAATATCCTGTTTTGCTTATAATGTAGAAGGTGCCTAGATTCTAACAAAATAACGGTTGAAGTTTAAGTTAGACAAAAAAAATTAATTCTCCTCTGTATGAGGTTTCTAGATAAAAGCATTAGTAATTGAATTAACTAAAACTTACATAAATCAAACTTCTATACACTCAGGCCAAAGGCCTTTACCATGAAGCTACTAGAATGCGTAGAGGTTAAGTAGAACTTAGAAAGCTCGAAGAACAAGGTAAAGTTGGACTAGGTCATCTAAAACAAGGTTTAAAACTTGTTTAAGAATATCTTAGTTCTTTATCATTTGAGCCCATTTTGAAATTTTGTGAGGTTATACGTGCTAGCACCGAAGACTGACTTATGCTAGGCAAAGTTAAGGTTTTTGGATTCTTCGACTCGTTTCAAAAGCTAAAAAATCTGTTGCAAACAAAATGTCTGCTACAAATGCTAAATTACATTTTGTATATAATCTTCCTAACGGAAACCAAATACGTGTTGGAAAGTACGTAAAAGCACTTTTGCGGTACTTTTGAGGAAATAATTTTTGAAAAAGGTATGCTAAAGGAAATGAAGAGGTTTACTTTCGAACTAACTAGCGGAAACGAAAATTTATGGCTACACGTGGTGGGAACTTAAGGTTGTTCACATAATTTACTGTATAGGAAGCAAACATTCTTTAGAAACCAAATAGTTTTTACTTTTTGAATATAGACTTTGCCGCTTTGCTTTTATTAACTACTCGGAATCTCTTTTATTACTTAATACAGGGGCGCACGTGCTAGTTAAGCCGGTAATCGCCGAGGGAAAAGCCCTCCTCGAGGAAACCCTCCAAGAAGCCGCCAATCTGGCCGCCTACTACAGTCATAGAAGCGCTCAAAGTTAAGTTCCAGTGATGGTGGCCTCCCATAAGCAGATAATGAAGCCCCCAAAAAGCTCACTGGGGGCCGTTTTGGTTATGAAACAGCAGCGCAAGCTCCTCGGCTGTCCTGCAAACGCCCTTGCGGCAACACACAAGAATAATAATAATAAATCTGTGAACTAGTAACATTAATTAATAAAGCTTCTAATGCATAGACTCCCACAAAGCTCGTATAGCTTAGATCTAATGGTTCTCTCCGGCAAAACTCGTGTGTCCGTCCATCTCTTGCTCTACTCAAACCCCTGATAGATGAGCAATTATTCCCGCCAATAACTTTTCGATGAGTAAGAAAAGTGAGTTACAGAAGAATGCGGAGAAGAGAATTAGATTAATACGTTTACATCCTCCCACTAACAGTTTTCGCAAGAATTCCAGATTTGTTGCTTAGTAGAACACCTGGAAAAAAACTGATTTGCGCAAGATTATTTTTTCCGGTGTTTACTTCCACGTGGTCGTGGATACAACCACCTGGAACTTTATTATTACAACTATTTGGCTTGATATAGAAAGATAAAAAAGTTAACGTCAAAAGTCATTGACTCGACTTCGTAGAGACAGTCACCGGCGAACACGTTAAAAAGTCTGGCAAGGGAATGCACAGTGGCTTTCGTTCCTCTACGCGAGAGAGAATATTATAATCCAAGCCAGTGGTTGAATGCAAGAAGGTACAATTATAGGTATTAATAGTTGTAAATTTTAGCAGCTTTAGCGCATAAACTGCGGCGGGTTTTGCTGTTCCATCATCGCCCCCTACAACAAGTGCTGTATTTTTGTTGCTGGGTATCTTCAGTTTGCTTTTTTTTTAGAGGCGCATTTCAGGCCACGAATGATTCCCAGTCAGACTTCGAGAGTAACAGGGCGCTAAAGTGCACAATGAAGAAGAAAGCGCTCTAGCTATCAGTGTTGTCTCATTATATTGGCTCTTCCCTCCCTAATAATCGTTTTAATAGAACCAATTTAGGACGCTTTGGGTGTCAGTTTGTCCATTATTTGCACAGCTTTTTCCTTAATGGGATGGTAATGGAGCAACTCCAGGTGATAGTCGGCTTGTACTTAAGCTCTTCAGCAACCGCCTTTAATATGGTGGTCGGAGGAGACCAGGAAAAACCCCACTATTAGAGGAGCATGTACGCCAACTTTCCATTCCGTGGATGGTGCACGAATGCAGCAGCCCTGAAAAGAAAACGGTTGGCAACTCGTTCCTAATCCTTATTATTAGTACCCCCGAACTCTTGTAAGATGAAGTGGTGTACCGGAAACGAGAGAGACGAAGCTACTGGTATACTGTAGTGGCAGTACTATTTCCTGATTTGCGAATTGTATTAATCCTTGGTGAGTGTGTCGATGAAAACTAACACAGACAGGAAACCTACTGAGTAGCCCAATGGAGGCTCGAATTGTGCTAATCTGTTTGACCGTTAGTTGACCCGGAAAGGTGGAAAACTGGACATAAAAAGAGCACTACTTATAAGATGGCGCCTGTTCTATGCACAGCCAAATGACACACTGAGAGCGACGGATGGGTGACGGGATTTATAAAGGTGTTGAGGTTGCGCGAAGGGACCCCTTTCTCCGCCAGCAATTAAGGTAACAGGCACGCTTTGTCGACACAGCGTCGAAAGTTGGCGCACTTGGAAAAGTTGGTTAATCAAAGAATTGAAGAAAAGAGAAGAGTAGATTGTAAAAAGTCCCCGTTTTCCACGCTCTCGGCTGAGCAACCACTTTGAAGACATCCACTTGTTACTTCCCATGATATAAACAGAATTTAGTTTGAAGTGCGCTCCAACCAAATGTCTCTCTGAATACTGGTGAAGAAAATAGAACCAATGAAAACAACCCCTTCGACTCAAATCACTTGACTTCACCTGGCGGATGATAAGAAACGGATTATAGGCGAGGCCTCCTTTTCCGTGATATTTGGGCAATGGAGGTGTCGGAGAGCGTTACCTCCGCATCAATGTAGTCGCAGCAGAGTTCAACACCCAGAAGAAGAAGAGCGAGCCACTTTTCTCCGCTTCCAGAAAATATACTGCCTATACAAAACGAGAAACATAACTGAACGACGAATAGTAAACCTTGACCTCGATTGCGCACCGTGAAAATGATGGGGGTCCCACAGTAACGCCGAATGTGAGCTACTTGCTGACAAATAAAGTCTTCCTTTACAAACGAGAGAACAGTTACTTGGGCGTGCAAAATCACCAGAGTCTTCTTTTTTATAAACTAGCCGCCCCCTTTTTATTTTCTGGCATTGTGCTTAAGGTATACCGTATGACTGTACGGATGTTGCAGTTATAATAACAATTAAAAGTTCTATGAATACTGTGGGGTCCTCCAGTAAGTCCCGGCTCCCACGCAGATTTCTCTAAGCTTTTCCTCTGAAACATTCGGGTTCGAAGAAGTACAGCACACAAAGAAGCTGTGAAATTATATTCATGGAAAAAGGAACTGAGAATAACGACCACTTTGCCTTGTGGTTGCAGGTTTAGGCGATCTCACGTTATCATTAATAAGCCTGCGGCAAAATGAGAAGAGCTCGCTTCTTGCCTCGTCCCCCTCTTCTTCTCCTCGGATGGAAAAGAGAAACGTGCAGTAGCTCGAGTACCATACTGACCAACCAAAAAATAACATAGACTTGGTGCTAACACGTGCGGCCTACCCTTCCTCTTGGCCTAAACGGCGCGCAGGTCTTCCCCCAAACCCGGCCGCCATCGACGTCTATCGCATAAGCAAAGTTGCGCTTGAGAAAGTCCTTAAAAGACGTTGGGTTTCCGAATGGCAAAAGGTTACTACGAAGTAATTAGTTGAAGCAAGTTTTAGTGCACTGCTACGTGGTTACACTGTTACCAACTTTGAAGTGATTACAAGATAAAGTTTTAATGGCGGGCAGTCGACTGGAATAACACTGCATGATAGCAACACATGATGGAGAAACCTGAAGAAGGTGCGAGATCCTCTAAAACGCCCCGAAGCTCGACGACAAAGTTGTGCGACTTCAGCAAGGACAACGCGCTTTCTGTGACATATTGAACCCACAAGGTATACGCTTCCATATCAACATATATAGCAGAAGCGCACTGCTTTCCACAAGGCCTTCCTCAGTAACTATCACAGGACCAAATTGGTAGCGCTGTTCGGACATTATATTTTTAAACCAATAAAGCTCCAAGTTCTGGAAGGAGGACCAAGCACGTTCGACGATGCACTATCGAGTTGTAGCATATAAGTGGATATATATAAAAAAAGGAGTTCCACGCCTGAACTTCATGGATGGTCTGGCCGTTTATTCTCTTCTTTGAAAAAGTCCAAGTCGACCAATGAAAAGCCAAGATCTTTCGCAAGGGTTGCCGAAGTAGTTCTTCTCAGCGCTCCGCATACCAATAAAGATAAGGGAGAGGCCACTTTTGGCCTTGAAAAATATAATTAGTGTTAAGCTTATACTTAAGCGCTTATATAAATCTTACTCGTAGGCAAGTTGCAAGTCCGCTAGACCGACTCCTAAAAGCGTCTATGAGGTATGTTATTTGTACACCGTACAGTCTGCGCTTGTGGAATTTAATAACATCTACAAATGGCCCCTGCCCAGGTACGTCCTGCTTAGGCACGCTTTGTCGTAGAAGATAAGCTCAATAGCATAAACTAGTTCAAAAAATTAATTTCAAGTACATTTTTTTATATTAGAATTTGACTTTCATGCAACCTTTTTGAACTTAATTTTAAATTACTAAAAGGGAAGAAGACGTTCCATGGCTACCTCAAAAAATAAACTAAAATATTCATAAAGCTGGCGAATTTACTAATTTCTGAAGTGAAAAAAAAATGTAGAGAGCTCTAAATGTTTAGAATTTAATCACCTTACAGCACGGATTTAAAATTTGAATTATATTGAGGGTAAGGAGATATTGTTTATTAAATACCTTTTATAATCTATTGCTACAATATGTATGGTATATATATATATATATTTAATAAAACACACGGATAACTAGCCCATATTTTTCTGCTCTTTCTTCCATTCTTTTTTTTTCGGTTTGTACCGCGTATTTAGTGTTTTAGTTTTACCTTAGTCTAGAGGTTCCAGAGATTTTATAAAGGTTATAGTTTTAGTTTAGAAGGCTAAAACAAAGACTAAACGTTTAGAGGCGTTATAGCTGAAGTTATCATATAGCTTAGTAGTCTGGAGGACAACTAAGTTAATACTAACTTAACTAGTTTTACTAAATAATTTAAACGGATTTACAAACTTTAAACACTAAATACATTTAGGTTCACGTTAACATTTAAACTCTTATGCCCGAAAATGAGTCATAGTGTAAGTACTTTTCTGCCCTCTATAGAGTTTGAGGTTTTTCCTATTAGAAGAACGAACAGTTTTTTCGAGGCAATGACAAAGAATATAAATGAGCGGTATCTCAAGCATAATTATTACATAATTATTTAAAATAGAAGTTAACCAGAATAAACTTTTTAATTCTTCGCTATACCTCTTTGGGCACTCAATAATTTAATAAAGGAATAACAGCCTTTTTGTAGAGGCTAATTATGCATGACGCTAAATTATTTATTTATAAATGAAATTTCTTGGTGCTCGATAGAGTCTAGGGGCTAACTACTCAAGCTCCCAATCAGAAGTGGTTGTAAACATATATAAAAATGGCTTTCAATCGATAAGCTATCACTTTTTTCTTAAAATAAAAAAAAAACAAACTAGCGCTTACACAGCCACCTGGGAGGCGATGAGGTCCCCGCCCAATGGCTCGTAGGTGAGTTCACTCACGAGCAGGCGATGAGTGTGCTTATAGCGTTGGGAGACGAGTCTAATGACCCAGTTGGTGAAGAGCTTCTTTTACCTAAACAAACAATTTGTTCTGTCGCACTTAAAGTACTGACGCTGTTGCAGCGTAAGCATAGGCCCAAGTAGCAGACTCGTATGTCATTATTGGCTGAATGAAAGATATATACAATTGTTTGTTGCGCAGAGAAAGCTTGCTCGCCCTCCTCCTGTCTTAACCTTCGCCACTACCTAGCCTACATGCGACCGTTAATAAATTTTGTTGTCAATAATAATTCCAAAGTATTTTCCTTGAGAACATCGGGAGATCTTAACGCCATCAAAAGTTAAGGGCGCCTATAAGGGGGCGTGTTTCTTTAAAATATAAGCGCTTTGCTCGTCATCGCATTTATAACGAGCAAGGGCATTAAGATAGCGCTGTAGATGCTGCCATATCAAGGCGGAAGACTTCGACAATGAGTAAAAGATCGTATCATCGGCATAGAGGGCGATTCGTGTGCGTGGATTTGACGGTAAGGGCACGTCGCGTAAAGAAATTCAAATAAAAGGTGCGAGAGAAGTGATCCTTAGGTGAACTCCTGCTGCCAGAAATTGCAGAGGCGACCGTGCACCTCCCACGCGCGCGCTGAAGACATGGCCATTTCGAAAGGACTTCAGCACTTCTTAAAGGCCACCAGGAATGGTTAACGAGGGTACTTTGCGCAGCAAAACTTTATGCCAAACTTGATCAATTGCTTTTTTTAACATTGACGATAACATACTAAAGTTAAAAGAGCGAGTAGTTCCATGCAGTTAAAAGGAGTAGCCGCTGTTGTTAAGTACTGGTCTCACCCACTTTGCTGACCGCTGATAGGGGGGCGATGGGTCTGTACTCGCTGATTGCTCATAACGGTTTAAGTGTCTATGCCACGACATAGCATGTTCCATCGTAATCAACTGCGTTTCCGCTGATTGTTAATGTGCTGATGTTATAATGGGCAGATTTTTTGTATATTGTACTCGATATTTGGTCCTCATCCCAGTTAACGCCTTAGCAGGAGATATACGAGACATTTTGGTATCGTATACCTAACTTTGCTCTTCTTTGTACTTGACAAAAAAGTGAGGTGCACCGTGCTCAAAAGTATGGCAGCAATAAATTGCTTCCCGGTTAGAATTTATTAGAGTAAAAATTGATTTATGGTGAAGACTTTGTAAAGCACATTGTTCTCTCTTTCATTTTTAAAATAGTCTGCGAACAGTTTTCTTTACTTACAAGTTCGATAGTAATCTTGTTTGCGTGTCTAGTTGCTAACAAATTAGCTATTAGCCACTTAAAATATTAGAAGTGAAAACGTAACAGAAAATTCTATAAAATAATGAGAAAAAAAAAACCAAATGGATAAGAGAAAGTATATTTATATATATGAGTAAACAATGCAAAATAGTTTAATTTTAAATTTTAAAACATGTGTATATGTTGAAGTGGTGGTTTCTGCATAATGCAAAGAGTTTGTAATCTAAAAATACATAAGCAGAGATCTTTATGAGATTTCTTTTTCCACGCACGCCGTGAAAGTCTATCTACCGCCTCTTAAACACTGCACAGTCTACTTTGCTCGGCTAATTATAAAAATTGGCCCCCGCCTTTCGCTTCCTAATAACCTCTGTCTATTTGCTTTTTCCAATGTAAACCAAGTTAAAATACCATTTATGGATATAATTCTATCAATTTTCCGCTTTAACGAGCTTCGAGATTAAATTAAGTATTGCATTTTTGATAAACTCTAAAAAAACACAAGAAAAACCTTGAATATATATATTTCAAGAGATTAGTGGAATGCCATATTTGAATTATTTAATAGCCCGACAAGAAGGTTTCCATAATATAAATTTCCATTTATGGAATTGTGATTCATGTTCTTCACATGCTCTCCAACGTTCTTTATTTTGTGGAAAATTTGAGGTTTTTCCTTTTGAAAATTCATAAATACTGTAGTAAATGTTTAGATACAGGATGACGTTCTTACCGATAATATTATATTTTTGTTCTTATATTATTTTCAACTTGGAAGCAATGGATCACTCTAAATTTAAAACTTGTGACCAATCTACGTTTTGCAAGTTATTTTCATTATAATATTCTCAAATTTTTAAATATAAAGAATTTTTATATATCTTATTTATATATAAAAAATATAAAGTAAGTCTTTTACATATATACTTAAATTTATTTATTTTGAGTACTTCTGTTTCACGTATAATGAACGGTTTACTTATACTTTGGGACTTATTAATTTAGATAAATGATATATAAATAATTAAATACAAGGATAAAAGTTAATAATATATATTTCATGAAAGACGCAATAGAGCGAGAAGTGGATTTCAATATATGGATTATTTTTTAAATCTTTCTACGTTAATTTTAAATCAGAATCAAACCATTTTAACTGCAGATATTGAATCTCTTCATCCTTTGGCCACGTAAAATAATTTGAAATTTTTAATAATAATATTATTATTACAATATATCTAGTCTGCAGCTTAATCTTTCGTTACCTTCAGACAATATTATGAGATTTAAAATATTTCAAAAGTTTCCATCTTTTGAGAGATATGAGGTTTAGGATCTTTTTAAAAAAATTAATTTTTTTTTTTAAACATTTGTTATAAAAATTTTGGTTATATATGCTTAAACTATTTTAGGTGCCTGATGTTATTTTAGATACAAAACTCGAAAAATTAAATTTTTACGTAACTGATAATCAGTTAAATTTTTGTGTTTTTTATTTTGTTCCTCGTTTTTTTAAATTTATTTTCTATTTAGGGTTGAAGTTTTTCAAGCAAATAATAATAAAAACAAAGTTATTATATTTTGTAAACCGCTCAAGCTTGAATTTTGGAAGGATGGGAAGGTTTGTAATTTTACGGCTTTTGCTGATTTTCTTTTTTAATTAATTTTTTTAAAAATTTAAAAGCAATTTATGATAGCAAACGAAAGAAATTTACTTAAATTCGAAGCTGCAAAGTAAGAAGTGGATTTTTATAATACCATATAAAGTTAATTTTATAAAATTTGTTAAGAAATGAGACGGAGAGTTCCGTTGAGGAAACTTTTAACGGTTTTACTGATTCCAAGCCGCGTGGTTCCTTTCTACAAAAATTAATCTCTCTTTTTTTATAAAATGTTACATCAACGTTTTTTAAGTTTTTCATAGAGACTATCTCAAGTTTTTTTTTACTGGCTGAAATTAATTTTATTTCCTTTTTTATAGTATATACAATTTTTTTTAAAAAAATTTAAATATTTGAATTAAGTTTTCTTTAATTAATTACAAAAATACATTTTATTTATATAAACCAGGAAAAAAATGTTTTTTTAAGGAAAAAATTTGCATCCTAAAATTTTTTTTTTCATAAGTAATTTTTACTTTTGAATGCTTAAGAAAAATTTAAAAAGTAGCGTACAATTTTCTTTTGCTATCAAATTTAAATTTTATAGCATCTTATATATTTATTTGTTTTATTAAATTTTTAATTTATATATTGAAGGCTAAATTAAAATAATTTTTATTAATTTAAAATTAAATTAATTCAATTTTTGTAGAATTGGATTACTTTATAAAATTATTATCGTCATAAAATTATTTATTCAAATTTTATCTTTTTATATAAACAAATTTACAGGAAACACTGCAGTTTCTTTGGATTTTACTTTCAACACTTTTTATTTGTACGGGATTCCCGAACACGCCGATGCTTTATTGCTTAGAGACACGTGAATATATATTAGAAATTATTATTATAAATTCCTTTTTTTTTCTATAAAATTTAAATCTTTTATAATAAATCTTTTTAGTATTAAAGTTTTAAATATTTTTTGCATACTCTTCAATTGTATTTAAATTTCTTATAAAATTTTGTCTCCATTTAAAAATGATTTTTTCTTTTTTCTTTTGAAATAAAATTTATATAGTAATTATGATCAAAAAAAATCAAATTTATTAGTTAATAGTAAATTGCAATCATAGAAAGTATTGAAAATTTTTTTGAAACTGAATTTTAATATTGAATACGAATTTACTTTTAAATTTTTATTTTATTTTATTAACTTTTCTTTAATTCTCTTTAAACTTATAATTTGTTAATGATTATAATATTACTTTCTTTAATAAAACTCAATCCAATAAGAATATTAATTTTTTTTGTTAATATTTTTAAAGGAAAGTTAAATTTATAACATCACGTTAATTTTATTTGTTTTTCCTAAACTTACTTTTAAGTATATGGATTATTAAATGAGTCATTGTTAAAGATTCTTATTATAATATATTTTTTATTTAAAAAACTTGATTTATTAAGAATCTAATTTCGATTATTAATAATTTTAAAGGAAATTAAAAATTTATAATTTTAACTAAATTTTATTTTAAATTTATAATTAAATTTTTTAAATTTTTTGATTTATTATTTGATCCTTTATTAAAGATATTTATTTTAATATACTTTTATTAAAAAAAACTTCATTTTATTTATAAATATTTTATAAGGAAAATCTAAAATTTATTTTTTATTTATTTTTAACTTTTTAATTAATACTAAAAATTACAAAATAATGTATTATTATTTGAGTCACTTGTTAAAGTTCTTTATGCGTTTTCGTTGTTTCATTATTGTTATTATTATATATACTCTAAACCTTTTTATAAAGTCAATAAATTTATAATTTTTTTATTAAAATCGATAGGATTTATTTAATTTTATAAATTTTTGTGAAAATTTATTTTAATTATATGGATTACTAATTAAATAATATTTAAGAATTGGTTCTTTTTATTTATTATATTATTTTTATTATATAAATTCCTTTTTAAAACTAATTTCTTAATTTAATTTTTTAAATCAAAAGTAATTTTAATACTTATAAAAATCTTATTTCTTTAAAGCGAGGAGACGCCCTACCGACTCTACAATTTAGACGTTTTTGAGTACGAAGTGCACAGCCCGGCGGCCCTGTACGGGCACGTGCCTTTCCTACTCGCTCATAGCGTGGATTTCACTACTGGACTTCTGTGGTTGAACTCGGCGGAAACTTGGGTGGATCTCGAGAGCGGCACAGTAATAATAATAATGATATTGATAATATTATTATTAATAATGAAAGGAAAAGGAAAAGCTGCCAAGAAAACACACGCAGTGGATCAGCGAAAGCGGCCTCGTGGACTTCTTCGTGTTTTATGGTCCAAAACCAAAAGACGTTTCCTATCAGTACAGCCGCATGACTGGTAAGACTGGCACATGATGTTTGTGTTGCCAGCTGTGCAATGATTGAGGCCGTTGTAGGTACCACTTGTCTTCCACCCCGCTGGGCGTTGGGGTACCACCAGTGCCGCTGGAATTACAATGACGTTGCCGATGTCGTTTCGGTGCTAGATAATTTTGATAAGCACAATCTTCCCGTCGACGTACTCTGGCTGGATATCGAGCATACGGACCAGAAAAAGTATGCTTCTATTATAATAATAATTGAAATAATATTTGAATAGGATTGATAATTACTACTAATAATAATGAACAAATAAACTTCTGCTAAAGATATTTTACTTGGGATCCAAAAAAGTTTGAGCAACCTGATATTATTCTTCAAAAATTGCACCAGACTCATCGGAAACTGGTAGGTTTTCCTTATATGGACGCCCCGAATGTCCTTATTGTAGCATGAGGTGACCATAGTGGACCCTCATATCAAGAAAGACCCGGACTACCAATTGCACCAGGCTCTCCTGGAAAAAGGTCGCTTATGCCTTGTGCTGTACGCGGAAGGCTGTTTTAATTGATGGTTTGCGTTATGCACCAGATTTTTATGTGAAGGATAAAGAGGGGCGACCTTATGAAGGTCATTGCTGGCCCGGTAGCTCGCATTTTCTCTCTCATTGGCATTGGCTTACCCGCTTTGTGTTCAGGCAGTTCCATGTGGCCAGATTTTATCAATCCGGACATGAGAAACTTTTGGGCGAACCAGTTTGTCTTTGAGAAGTATCCCTGTTAACTTTTTTTTAGTTCCGCTTCCAGCCTGCACGGCACTGTATTTTCCCTTTCTCTTGGTTAGACTCCACCAACGACCTCCACATATGGAACGACATGAACGAGCCATCTGTTTTCAACGGACCCGGTTCGGCGGCCCTTTCGCTTATAAGCGCCCCCGCTAACCCTCCTGTATGCCTCTAAAGAGACGACCATGCCGAAGGACAACCTCCACTTTGGCGGCTTTGAGCATCGCGATGTGCATAATATATACGGACTTCAATTGGTCAGTGCTTCCTCTCGGCTTCCGTCCGTCTCTTCATAGACTTAACACTGTAAACGGCAGCACCGTGCAACTGCAGAGGGGCTAATGAGGCGCAGCGGCTACACGGAGCGTCCGTTTGTTCTTTCCCGCGCATTCTTTGCTGGTCGCCTCACTTCTCTTCGTATAACCTCGCTTGTCTCATGTGCACTGCACTGTAGGCTCTCAGCGCTACGGAGCCGTCTGGACTGGCGACAATGCTGCCACGTGGGAGCATCTAGCGGTGTCTGTTCCGATGCTTCTGTCTCTAAACATTGCTGGTCTGCCTTTCTGCGGAGGTAAAGAGCGCGCAAGCTACTTGCTTTCGGGTGCACGTGTTGTTAGAGCTTTTTTCTTGACCAATAGCGGACGTTGGTGGGTTCTTTGGCGATCCCAGTCCGGAATTGATGGTGCGGTGGTATCAGCTTGGCGCCTTCTATCCCTTTTTTCGAGCGCATTCCCACGTGGACACGAAGGTTCTCCCGTGCCCTTTCCGCCTTCTTTATACTGCCCTCATCAATTTTATAGAGAAGGGAGCCTTGGCTTTTCGAGGAGCCTTATTTGGACAGGATTAGGTGCTTATTGCCTATGTGCTTACATTTGCTTGGTCGTTGATCACGTGTCCTTTCGTGGTAGAGCTGCTTTAAGACACCGCTATAACATCTTAGCATATATGTACACGCTCTTCCATGAAAGCCACTTGAACGGCACGGCTATAATGAGGTTACTATTATTATTATTATTATTATTATTATTATTATTATTATTATTATTATTATTATTATTATTATTATTATTATTATTATTATTATTAGTATTAGTATTAGTATTATTATTATTATTATTATCGTTCAGGCCTCTCTGGTATGAGTTTGAAGACGAGAGTCTTTATACCGTAGAAGACGCTTTTATGCTTGGCTCCGCCCTTTATGTGACCAATTAGCTTTTTTCATTGGTTTTTTTTGCGCTTCTTATTCAAGTTAGGTGGCGCCCGTCCTTAGAGAGCACGTGACAGAAATGTTTATTACTTTTCCGGGGGAGGAGGTTAACTTCAATGTTTCCGCCTTTTGGTCGAATCATTTAGCTCACATTAATTAGAACTGGTATCACCTCATTACCAATGAAAAGAGGTCTCCAGGCACCTTCTTAGAGCATGTGGATTTAAGTTTTATTCCGGTCTACCAGCGGGGCAAGTTTTTTATAAAGCCAACTCCAAAAGCTAGTGACAAGCCTCTGCCATCTCCGCAGGAGGCACAGTTCTCACAATCCAGAAGCGCTCTCGGAGATCTTCGCAAATCATAAACAACTTTTACACCCTCCGCGTGGTGCTTGACTCGAAGGCACCAACTTTACATATCGAGTCATTATTATTATTGATTTTTTTTTTTAGGGGAGGAGTATGGGGGTTCTATATACAGATGATGGCTCGACTTTCGACTTCAAGGCTAAATCCGCTTATTGCCTTGTGCGCTACAGTGCATTTGGTGGAAATAATAATAATAACAATAATAATATAAAAATAATAAAAATATATAATTATAATATTATAATAATGAAATAATAATTTTGTTAAGATCAGCGCTTAGAGTCCCGCTTAGGACACTTCTCGGCTTCAACTTTTGATAACCGCATTGAGGAGGTAAAAATATTTTTTCCTTTTTTTAAAAAGGGGGCCATATTACCTTTTTTGTCGCAGGTTATTATAATCGGAGTCCAAAAAAAGGTTGCGAAAGTTCTTCTCCACTTTGAAGAGGACCAACTTTTGAGCCTTTCTTTTAAGCAAAACCTCCAGAGAGAAGTTCTACTATTGAACGTCGCTCTGCTTTTCATTTTTGTTTACTTGCGATCCTTTTTTAGACGCTGATTGTGAAGAATCCCGCGGTGAGTGTGGCTTCGGAGTGGATTTTATCGTGGCAACTCTCTTGATAGCTTCTTTTAGGGCCTCTGATAAAAATATAAATGAATCATTTATTACTAAAAAACTTTTGTATATATATTTTTTAAAGTAGACTTAATTTTTATAGTAGAGGCGTGGTGAGAATTTCTTAAAATATTTTTATCAGAAGAAAATTAAATTTTATAGAAAAAAATAATTTATTCTAATTCGAAGTAGATTTACACTGTTTATATTATGAGGCGTGGAGTAGGTTTTTCTCGATTATCTTTTACTGGATTTCGTAAACTTATATTAGATAAATAAATTTTATTGAAGGAAATAATCTATTTGAAAACTACATTGTTTACAATATAAGACTTGGTTGGTATGTTTCTCAGTTGTCTTAAATGGAATTCTTTAACTTTAACTCTTTTATTGGTTTTAAAAGGAAAATTATAGAAAAATAATAGAAACTTTGAATATAACTAAAGTAGTTTAAAGTTAGTTATAAAGGAGTACCTGGTTTACATAGTTTACAAGTTAAGGTGGTGCTCGCCACGAATACAACTAAGTTCGTTTTATCTCAAGTCTATAATGGATATGCGTATGACTTTATAATTATATTATTTTTTGAAACCAATAGTTCTATAAATTTAATTAGGCTAAAGTTAGTTTGCATTTACTAATTAAATTGTACTTTTCCAGTTAATTTCTTATATTGTTTGGTTTTTTTTATTTCAACTTCTCAAGAATTTTTTTCGTTTCTATTTGGATAATAATTAATTTGTATAGTGTATTATAAAAAAGTGGAATATAATTAAAACAAATATAAATGATTTATACGCATAATTTTAATAAAGACAAAGAGGACGTTTAACTAATAGATAAAATTGTGTTAACACGGACAAAGGCCGTCATAACTAATAGTATTATGCGCAAGCTATGTGCGAAGAGTTCAAACGCATCAAATGATTTTATTTTTAGGTTTAAGCAATCAATAAACTACCTTACAGTATAATTCTGTAGCTTATCTTTTCAATAACGGGCTAATACTTAGTATTAAACTTCTCTTAATTTACTTAACATTGATTATATTGTTGAGAACTCTCTTAAAGTCTTATTTATTATTTAATATTCCTTTTTTTAAAACTGAAATTTTTCCAACAATTGACCAAAATGCTTATTAATTACGGCAACCTTTTTTTAATAAGAATGCCAAGTATGCAGTTAATATTAATTTTAAATGAATCCATTTATATATAAATAATAGTCAATAGTAAAAGTAAACAGGAAAATTTTTACTAACCAAAAATTATTGAAGTTTAAAATATTAGTTTTATTATTAACCATGCAGTTGCAAAAGTCAGAAGACTAAAAATCTTTCAGGCCGCAAACATAAATTCTTTTTTTCTGCTCAACTTTTAAAAATTGTTTACATACGAACATCTTTAAAATATGTGGGACCCATTATATGAAAAAGTTTTTTTAACCCAGATTATTGTTTAAACTTTTAACCAGTAATTTGCATAACATGTAAGGATTAGCCAGTGTTTACTTTAAACACTTTTGGTACGGGTTAAAAGGTATTATCCATTTTTTAACTTTTTCAGTTGACTAAGTCTAATTCATATTAATTTAACTATAAATAAATATTTTAATCAATCTTAAAAAATTATTTACTACAATAATATATTCACATATTCTACATACACACTCAATTCATGAGAGGCAAGTAAAGAGACAGGCGGTTAGCATAAAAAAGGCGTCAAGTGTTTTTAATGTTTTAAACCGTGCAACAAAAATTGTAGAACGAAGGACGTAGACACTTCAGTTTCGTGTGCGAGTTTTTATATTGTGCTAATAAATTTTTGTTTACTATTTTGTCGGGTTTACCTAAATGTTAGTTATCCAGTCCAGATCCCGAAGAAGAATAGGAATCCATTTTAAGATAAACATTTTTTTTCGTATTAACCAATTACGGTCGATGTGGCCCTGACAACCAGCCAGAGATAGAAGATCAAAAAGTAAAGAGGTGTAAATAAATTTTAACTTCTTCACCAGCTTCTTATGCCCTCTATGTTTCGGCTCAGTGCAAGCGTCATAGGGTTAAGGTCTCAACCAAGCATTTTACTTATTAATAGAAAGATAAAGATTATACATCCAAACTTTTTCCGAGCTTCAATCTATAGTTATTTATACAAACCCGCCTTCCTATTAAGCGGGGTGCTTGCTTTCTCTTTTGGCTACAGTAAACTTGCATTAAATGAAGAAAATATTAAAAGTTTCGACTCTTTTAAACATTCAGAGAACGCACAGTTATTCATAGATGAGATTGAAAAAATAGTTGACAACCCATCCCGCAATGTTATAAAGTCTATTACACGCTCAGCACAAGAGCCTTACGTTAGAGGTATCCGTTTGGGCCACGGCTTAGGTTTAAACCTCTTGTTATTTAGTTCTGAATTTTATTAGAATACTACTATAAGCCATCATTAATATATGCTTTTTCTATGTTCTTTCTTAAATAAACAATAATAATACACAAGTTGCTATCTTAATAAAGATTTTTTTAAGCTGTGGCTGTCATTAAACCCGGAAGCATTAAGGAAGCAGTTGAAGTGCTTAAAGCCTGCGTTAAGTACGACATAGCCGTAATACCTCAAGGTAAAAACACGGGCTTGACAGGGGGATCCGTACCTAGAACTAAAGCAGGTTTGGTCTAATTCTCTAACGCGTTTAATGTTGGACAAATCTTCTTACTAACTTTTTTTTATACACTACTTTTCTTAATTCAAAAAAAAGTAATTATATCAACTCATGCTAGTGGTGCTAGCAATAAATATATAGTTTCCGGTTTATATCTTAGCTAGGCACACTACTTTTTGATAAATAGATAGAGAATTTGCAATTATATCGTTGACCCGGTTAAACAAGATTATTCCTATAAAGGAAACAAATAAAAATGTAAATCAAGTTCTGTGCTACGCGGGTGCAGGTTATTTTCAACCGCAATATGTTGTTTATATTAAGCTGAACTCTAAATTAAGTAATTACAAAAAGGAATTTACGATTTGGAATTATTTTTAAAACCTTTTAAACGCGAGCCTCATTCTGTGCTGGGCTCTATTTTTTTAAATCCGACTGTTGCTGGTGGAGTAGCTTTCGGTTCTGGAGGGACGCACGTAAGAAAAGGTTTATAACAATTCAAAAATCTTTATTTCTTTCAAGATCTCAAAACGCATTTTCCTTTTTTTCCCAGGGCCAGCCTACACCGAGAGGGCGCTGTACTGTAGAATAGACGAGCGCGGGAAAGTCCAAGTGGTAAACCGCCTCGGCTTGAAAAGGTGAGCGGCAATAGTGAGTTGCACGGCTGCTTTCCAAATGCTCGTCTTCGTACACCAGTGAGGATTCCTGGGAAAACGTCGTCGCCCTTCTCGAATCCTCCACGTCACTAGAAACAAGAGACTTCCAAACTTCTCTAAAAGCACACGACTCGCAGTACAAATACAAAGGTACGACTCTCTAGCGACGCCGTGCCTAACCCTCGAAATTTTCTAACACTCCCCATCGACGCTTTCTCCCTACAAGTGTGCGAGCTCAGTGACGAGGTGGCCCGGTTTAATGGCGACACAAGTGGTAGCAGCGAGTGCGTACGAAGCGAGGGAAAAGTTATGATATTGGGTCGAGATCGTTATATATATGAATATCCTCCCCCTTTACACAAATCTCCGCCATAAATGAATTACACGCAGCCACCATTCACGATGCCTTCCCTTTACCCGAAAAAAAGAGCGTCTATTGGATTGGATGTTCCAGTTTCGCACAGGTTTGAGGCATTTCTTTTTCATAATTTTTTATGCTCATCCGCTTTATAAAAAAAGGCCAGCGAATTAAAAAGAACGGTTGTCGTGTCGTCCGTCCAAAACCTGCCAATATCTTGCGAGTATCTAAACAAAGACGCTTTCGATGTATGAATTTCCGCGGTCTATTAATAAACCGTACACTCATCGCCGTTGCAAGGTCACCGACCAAGCTGGCCGGATTCTCGTCCAAGTCATCACCGTATTAGGCATCAAGCGACTCGGTGACTTTCGACTTCGCTTCTCTTTGAAGGGGGCCGTGGCGGTAACGCTGTCTTGCTCTAACCGATAGGCTTCCTGTGGGACCTCAAGGCTAAGCTCGAAGCGCTCCCCGCCTGTGCGGAGGGGGTCTCCGACAAAGTCCTCTTCTACCTGAACTTCCTCGTTCCCCGGCCCTTGCCTAAAAAATGCTATCTTATTGGTCGATGCTCCTTCCTTGGGGCAAGCCGGCTTCCACTTTATTTTCTGAACAGGCAAAAACTATGAGCACCACGTGCTACTTGAAATGGGCGAGTTCGGAAACGGAGAGCTCGAACGTTCCGAAGAAAAACTTTTGTCGTTTCTCGAAAACGAAAGGAAGAAGGGGGAAAGCATCGAAGTACTATCCGCAGCGCATTAACGTAGCCCTGCACTAGTATCGTCGCCCGCCGTTAAGGTGTTTAAATGCGCTAATGAGAAAGAAGTCCAATCAGTGATGACCTTCCGGTTTGCCGTGGCCGCCGCCTTCAAGACTTACAACGAAGGAAAAGGTATGAACCTGCTCCCCTTGCCGCCCGACCCACACCTACCAATGGGCGCTGGCTAAGGTTACCGCGGGATCTCCGTGGACTACGCCCTGCGAAAAAATGACTTTAGCGTGCCGGTCCTCCCCTTCGATAGAGAGAAGGTAGTTCAGTTATAGCTGAAGACGCATGACTCACGCGCCAGTTGCCCGCCAGAACTTTCCAGAACCCACGAGGAGATTGCGGTATATGCACTTCGCTTGCAACGTCGCCCACGAGGACCTGTCCTTCCCGCCTTCTTTCCAAAGTAAGAGCGGCCTTCTTCCAACCGACGTCGAGGGCCTCACAAGTATGATCAAAGAAGCGCTCAAGGCCAACGGGATCCGACTGCCAGCAGAGCATGGGCACGGTAGGCCGCACACCAGCCAGTAAAACTTCTTTAAATAAGCAATACGACGGCAGGCGTGGAATACGAGGCGCCCCCCGAGACCCAGCAGCGCTGGAGAGAGCTCGACCCGTTGAACATGATGAATCCAGGGGTCGGAAAAACTTCGTTCAAACGGAACTACGCTTGAGCAACGCTCTTGTTTATTGGCTGCGTACTAAAAAAAAGAAACAGTAATAAAGGGTGATGACCCCCCCCCCCACCCCCACCGCCGGGCTGGTTGCATCCTATGACGTGCTCCCTTCCAGTACTTTCTTGCTCACGTTCCAGCTCTGCAGGAACGAGTATTTCTTTCTCAAAAAAGACGAACGAAATCACGTGGATAACATACAAAAGACACCGCCTTCCCTCTTTTTATGGACAGCAGCGTGTCGCCTACAAGTTCCTTGCGCCACGAGTCAAATACCCTCAGCTTCTGGCAACCTATAAAAAGGGATTGACAGAAGAACCAATACCAACAAACTACAGACTCACACAGCTCTTCTTCAGCAAGATTCGCTATTAAGTTGAGCTCTTGCTGATCCACGAGAAGATCGCGGTTGATGCCATGCTTGTCTAGAAAAGACGGTAACTATAACCAGCAGTAGAGAGTACAGTACAGCAAGAGCAGACGAAACCAGACAAGTAAAGAACCGCCAGAGAGAGTAAAGACACGAGCCGAATGTTTTCCTCTACACAAAAAAAAAAATTAAATTTAAAAAAAAACATTTCACAGCTCAAGGTAAGCAGCAAACTTTTTTGCTTGCGGTGTTCAGGGAATTGGACATAATCGGCGGTGGGAGTGTTTTGAGCGGCGCTTAGCACGTTGGTAATAGCCTCACTGTGCTTTGCAATAGTGGGCGCTGAAAGGCCCTGCACAGCCAAGATGTCCGGCGGGCTCCTTATCTCCTGGAAGTGTCGAGAGTCGTGTGCACTGACGCTAAAGCGGAGCGCGTTAACAACCTGCAAGCAGAGCGCAACTAAAGTGCTGTCCTTCATGATCCGCGAGGGATGCGTGCTGGTTACGCGGGCTGTGCTTTCCCGCCACTGTGCCAGCGCCTTAACACGTGTCACGTACTTCGGCTCCTGCAACAATATTAAAGGAATTGCAAATCAAGCCAACTATAAACTAATACGAGGTTCTGCGCCTCTTTAATTGAGATCCAGCACTCGTCAAGAGACTCATCGTAGTGATCAAGGTCTGCAAGTAAAAAGTGAGACACTATACCCCAAATATATAAAGAAAATAGAAAACTCACTGTTAAGACGACTCATTTCCTCCTCAAACCAATCCAATCTCCCCATAGAAATTAATTTCTGCCTAAGGACATCCCAGACGGCCTAATTAGGATAAATATATTTTTAAAAACGCTCGAGCAGTGATAAAACATAAAAATTTCAGAGCAGAAATAAATCAGAAGAAAAACACACTTTTAGATGCCGAACGTCATCAATGGCGTATTCAATTTGTTCAGGAGTTAAAGGTCGTCGAGACCAATCGGAAAGTGTTAGTGTTTTAGGCAATTTCAGAGAAATACACTTGTACACGTATAGTAAGTGAGGATCCAAGAACTGAAAATTAAAAAAAAAAAGCCCACTAACATCTTCAACAAGCTGAGCAAGAGAAACGTAGAAAGTATAACCACAAAAGCCAGCAGCTACTTGGGTGTCCAAAATTTTAGGCGAAAAGCCAACTAAAAGTGAAAAAACAAAATAAAAAGCTTAAAGTAAGACTTCTTTAGAAGCATAAAAGCTTTCAACTAACCATATTTTTGAATAAGAAGCTTATCGTTATAAGAAGAGTGCATTATTGCTTTTTTTTCCCCAAAAGATTTCAATAAATTTTTAAGATTATTTTTCTCAAAGCATTGAACGTCAACAGCAAAGTATTTTTTATCGGCAGCGATCTTTGTAATAAAGTAAATAAACAATCCAGAAAGCAAGCTAACAGCTATATATTAAGGTATAGCTAATAGTGGCCGTTTTTCTTGCTTAAAACTTACTTGTAACAATTGCAAATCAGAATTATAAATACTATCCCAAATAAATTCGGTATCCTTTTCAAAAACAAAAGTAAATTAACTTCAGAGAATTATTATAAAAAATTAAAATAAAATTTACAGCTGCTATAGACTTTGCTTTTCTACAAGACTGAATAACGGTTTTAAGTTGAGCGTCTGTGGTTACAAGGTATTTGCTACTTTCGATTGGCTTTGCTAAGTAAAGATGCAGGAAAGAGTTTATAAAAATTACTTTTTCTACTTGTACAGTAAATTAATATAGAGGCAAGTACTTCTTGGGAAAAATGTATAATTCCTAAGCCAGCAATTTATAAATTTCGAAGTAATAAGAAAAGACTGACTCATAATAACAAGTAAGCCTTAAGAAATGTTCAAACGCTAAAAATACATTTGCCCAAAAACGTGGGATCGAACACACGAGCTAATGGATTTATCGTTGTTGGTACTCCTGAATCCTCACTTAGCCTAGTTCTATTCAAAATATCTCGCCTATACTTTTTTTTTTAAAGAAGAAGAAAAGGTAGAAACTTAACTCTTTTATTTAACTACTTCCGCGCTACATTCTTAGGCCTTTTTATTATAAAGTTTTTCAGAGTTTTGTACGAACTTCTTGCTCGTGTATATATTTTTAATATAGTAATTAACAATTGAATTGGCTATAACATAACCTGATTACGTAATTTCCATTCCTAAATTTTTATTGGCTCGCCTTATATTTTAAACCTATAAATTGAAGCTTATTTAACTATGTAAAATAGCTAATAGCAGTTTAAGTTAATAAACATTGACTCTTAAGTGTGTATACACGCGAGTTGCTCGAACTAGGAAAGGATCGCCTCTGAAGAAATAAAGATTAGTGTTTATTTTAGTCTTTAGACTAACCTATATTATTATATTTTTATAATAGCTCGTAAATAAGGCAGATCCTCTCTAACTTTTGGCAATAAACTACAGTGATCCTGTGTTAGATTGGTTAAGTTAGTATGAAAAGGGCTATTTCAATGCAAGTAGGAAAATCGAACGCAAGCTAGAGTGCTGTTGTACTGATGAGTGTGGCTAAATAACGAATTTGGATACGAACTGTATGTGTATAATAGTGCTTTTATGTATGACTCAAATAGAGTTGTATTGTAATAGTACTGTTATTGATAGTGTTACTTACTAGTACACTTAAATATAAGTGCGCGACTCCCTCCTAATGGCCTGTGAAAGTTGCATCTAAAAAAAAAATTATGCGGAAAAAGAGTTACTCACCAAGTTTTCTGAAAAGACCTAGAATAGGGCTTTTTTTTGTTTGCTTTGTTTGTATTATTTTTAGTATTACCAGTTTTTATTAAAAATTTTTCTACCAACCAAAGAAAGGTTTAAGAACACAACAATCCTTTTACTAGCGGGAGCGCAAACGAATGTCTAATCAGAAACGCTGGCAAACACTTTTTACTCAATTTTTTTTAGCCTATTACTGATATTGTGGCAAATTATAAAGCTACTACAAAATTAGGGGCTGTAAAGTAGGAGGCTCTAATAATTAAAAAATTTTTAAATACAAGACAAAATAACAACTATTACAGAATAGTAGGAACAATTTTTGCATACTTTTTTTCTTAATATATTATAAAAATCCATCATCATGGAACAAAAAACTATCACGACAAATTGAAGCTAACCAGGGAGAGAAAAGTTATTTGTAAAGCTTTATTTGCACACGTATTTTTTTTAAATTCCTTTTCCTTTATCGCATTACATATTTAATAAAAACTTTGTAATATATAGCCTTCAAGGAACTATGGCACTTTAAGTTTAGAACGTAAAAACTATAAAGCTATTGCAGAAATATGCAAGGTATCTAACAAAAAAATTAGTTCAAAACGAGAGTGGAGGCATTTATAAATGGTAATTACTAAAAACGTTCCATATAAAGCATTTCGTCGTTCTATTCGTCCTGGAAATAAAGTTGGTACCTTGCTTTTTTTGGATCTAAATACTAAACTTATTCTTAACTAATTAGTGTCCTCTTCTTTCAAAACTTTAAATAATCCAGAAAGTATGATTTTAACTGCCTCCGAAATCTATTATGAAATGCACTGCTCGTCAGATATTTTAGGGTCCTAGCAGCTATCTAATTTTTAAACAATAATAATAATATATAAACCAACCTTTAAGATTACATCATGTCATCATCCTCTAGATAAAACAAAAAAGGACAAAAAGAGTATATTAAACGAAATTCTAAGTGAAATTATAACTTTTATACAAGTTATTACGCATGATTTGTTATTAGTCATATTTCTGTACCAATTTTGGACCTTTTCTTTTTACCTAAACGTTAATTTTTCACCTCCCGTAGTATTATAAAAAACATATAAACTGTTTGCTACTTATTATTAATAATTAAAGTGACCAGCTTATTCAAATACACTAATTTAAACTCATTTATAATCGGAATGTACCCATATGGACATTCGCACAAAGGAATCCTAACGAGGGTCCTTTTGCTTTGCTTCATGTATGGCTTAATTATAGTTTTTCATTTTATATTATATGGCTGCGGGCCTTTTGATTTCTGTTATCTCTACCTTAAACCAATTTAGTTTCTTATTAAATTCGCTAGCTCATTTTCCATCCACATTATTAGAAACATCTGTTTTTTTTTTATTGCATATATTAACTCCTTAAAATTCTATTTATATTTTTATTATAAGTTTCGTTCTTTTAATAGTAGCCCTTTATAACCTTTCTAAAATTTAATTTATAATCCTGTAACAACATGCCTACCAATTGATAATATTATAACCTATTGTTTCCATTTTTCGAGACTGTTGCAATAAAATTAAATAATTAATTTAATTCATGCTCACAATGATTTAACAGTTAAAACTTTTTTTTTAATTTTATAATATCTTTGGTAAGGTGAGAAAATTTTCTTGGTGTTAGTTACCTTTCCATCGGCTATTGTTTATTTTCTCGTAATATTTAATTTCTTACCTAGCTCAAAATATTTTACTGAGAGATATTTAAATTTAATTAACAGTTCATTTGCAAAAATGTTTAGAGGAGCTAGTAAGACTTGCTGTGCAACAAGTTGGTACAAGAGAGTGAGTGAATTAGAAAAAAGCTTAAGTATGTTGCCTTTATAAATAAAGTTGGTTTTTGGTGTAGGGTTAGTATGTGCTATGTTAGAGTATGAATTGAAATATATTTTTTTTTTAGTAAGTAAATGACCTTTTTCTTTTTTACTTTTAATATAGGATGTAATTTAATTGCTTCAGTTTTCTTTATTAACCATAAACACAATTATGTCAGCTTCTTAAACTTATATTAAAGTTACTATATCTAATATTAAAGTTTCCTTTACACAACCTTTTCATTAAAATAATTTTGGGTCACACGCCGCCACCATTTTTATAATAAATCGTAAAAAAAAAATTCACAAGCTGCTCCAAAAACTTTAAAGTTTAATCGCATGTGAACTAAAAGTTATATTCCCTAGGGCTTAAGGTGTGTTACCAGGTGTTATTAAACCACATGACCTTAGCACGTGCCTATTTCACGTGCTTCGTACTGTGTCTCTCGTGTCGTCGCACGTTTTTCATTTTTTCCTACAGTTTGTATTACTTCCCCGAAGGTATAAATACCCTAACACTACAAGATAACAAACTGATCACTCCTCTTTTTTTCCGTTACCGAATAAAGTCTTTTTTACTCTACAAACCTTGTAAATTTATCGTTGCTTATACTGCTCAGTAAAACTGTAAACACTCCTATACATCTGAGATAATGACTTGAATCCGAAATATACATAGTCCAAATAATATTTTTTAGCAAATAAAAATGTGGTTTAAACTTAAATTTAATAAAAAAAAAATATTTATATTGCCTTAATAAACTATTAGCAAAGCAAGGGCAATTAATAATTATTTTTCCTTCCTAATTTTTAATTTAGCCTTAGTATGTATAAAATAAAAACTTATAACGACGGACTTCAGTTCCAAAGATTTTGGTTAACAATAATAGTATAGATAACCTTAGTATCATAAAAGAGAAACGAGGTATCTTACCGAGAATACATAAATACCACAGTCCTAATATGAAGTTATCATATAGTATAAGCAGCTGTTTATAGAAGTAGGAAGCCTGGCGCTAAATTAAAACTGAGGTTTAAAAATTAAAATGTGAGCGAGTGGTAGAATAAATGGAGTTTATTCAACCTTCAATAGCAATAAAATTTGATGAAGCTAGTCGAATACCAAAATTATTTAGACAATTCTAAGACTAATGGTAAACTCTGATCATAATTCAATATATAACAGACTTCGAAAACATATATTGCAACATGTGGCAAAAGATTCAAATAGTATTAAACTACAGTTGCGGTAGTGAGGCGATTATTTCATTATTAAACTATTTACTATAAATAATAGTAAGAAGAGCACCGTTACTGAATAAGGAATCCTAAAATTATTACCCGTTTTTTGAAGGCACTAGTAAAGGATAACTAAGTATAGTGTTTTTAGTTTTATACACCATATACCAGTCAATAAAATAAGTGGGTAATGTAATTAAGCTAAGGAAGTATTTTTTGCCATAGAAACCAATACTACTTTTTTAAAAAAAAAAAATTTACGTAACGAAATAACGAAGAAAGTAAGGCGTAGAAAGAGGGCGTAATTGTTAACTGTGGGTGGACGAGCAATATTATGCATAACTTTTATGGGAAAAGATGTTACAGCGAATTAAGTTTCTTAATACCTACAATAAAGATTAAAGGGAGACCTTAGAAAGTATTTCTATAACAAAATGAAAGGTTATCTGAAGAATTGGCACAATATTTTGGTGACCTCTTTTCTTTTCAATGTAACAATAAACTTGTTCCTTAAGTCATTTACTATAATGAACGCTACAGTTAACCTTATGTGTCCAAATAATCACTCAGAATAATGAGTATTATTTAATTAAGATTAAATAGGTGATATGAATATATATATATGTTAAACAAAGATTAGCCCACAGAACCAATTGACTTAAAGATCATTTACAGGCGCAAAGAGAGAACCATCACACATCAACGAAATAAACGTAGACCCATTTACAAAAATATAAATCATAAGCTTGGTTTTATAGATGCAAACGGTGTCGTTTTTATATCATATGACCCGGCATGGTCGACTTATATATAGTACTAGTAAATAGCCCTATTCTAGAAATCCCATTCAGATCCGTACGGTAAGAGACCACCCGAATGCGGATGTTCTAGTACAACAAGAATCACAAGTTTTGCAAATTTATGCTACTTTTTTTGACTTTCATGGTAGCTATGGATTTAGCAATAAGGA